CTTGCCCTGGCCGTGCACTGTCACCTGTCTGAGCAGCCCCACCCACCGGTCACCTGAGCTCTCACCCCACTGCCCACCTCCAGCCCCCCCGCAGGCCGGCTCAGAGCGGGTGGGTTAAATCCCAGCTCCGGGCTTCCTGGACGCACGCCTGGGCCCAATGCCCGCCCACCCTGCCTCAGTGTCCCCATCCACACAATGGGACTCCACACAGCCCCCGAGGGAGGCGATGGGGGGCCGGCGCCCTGCAGCTGTGACAGGTGAGGAGGGCCACGGAGGCTCTGGGGCCATCTGCTCTGTGGTTTCTCAGTCTCTCCCTCCGACCAGCACGTGAGGTGGGGACTGTCACACCCAGCCTGGAGCCCGGCCCAAATGTGGGGGTGGGGTCAGGGCCGGGGGACAGGCACGACCGCTCCTTCCCTTTCTCTCGGGCTGAGGTTCCAGCTTCTCCCAAGTCCAAGTTGGGTAAACAAACCCTGCTGAGCCCCCAGAGGAAGGGTGGAGAGGGTGAGAGGGCCCATGTGACTGTCCTGCCCCCAAAACAGAAGTGAAACCCCAGAGGCCCCAGCTGTGGCCGCCTTCACCAGAGGAGGGCAGGGCCCTGGTCCCGGGCAGGCGGCCTTCCCTCCAGGGGCCCCGCCCTCCAGCGGCTGCCCTCACTGGGCCATCCCTCAGAGGGCCTGGCCCGCCCCACGTAGGACACAAGACAGGGCCGCGTCCCAGCCTCTTCCCGAGCACTGGATGGGCACAGGGCACAGGGCTGGTGGGACAGGCCTGCCCAGGTCTGGGGGAGGAGGGGCTCGTTGTGGGGTCCTGGGGGCACCGGCGGCACCCTGGCCTGGGTGGCGGCTAGCGTGGGGCTGCGAGCGGCTGGGACCCAGCTGGGCATCGCCTCTCTGTGTTGCCCACCTGCCCGGCAGAGTGAGCGGGTGGGGGCCACCCAAAGCATGGCCTACGTGGGTCAGGGCAACGTACATCCGGGACCCCGTCCTTCCATGGGCCCCTCCGCTGCTCTGGACCCGCCTCCAAGGCCTCTGAGGATGTGGTGTGGGGCGTGGGCCCTGCTGGTGTCCTCACTCTGCTGCCCTCAGAGGGCCTCCCCACCTCTCCATCCAAGGGTGACTAGAGCCCAGTGTCCTCATCGGTACCCCAGGGGGTCACACCCAGCCCTGAGGAGTGAAGTGGGGGGCTGCCGGCCCCCTCTCCTGCCCCCCATCCTGCCCCAATCTGACCACCTGGGAGGGGGTGTGAGTGACCTGTGGGCAGGCTGACCTGCTCCTCACACACAGGTGTCACTCATACCCTAGTTTCAGTCCCCCTGGCTTAACCCCACCCCCAGGGCTCCTGGCTAAGGGGGTGGGGGGGCGGGCGTGCCCCATGCAGGCAAAGGCTTGGAGCTCCTCTCCAGCTGCACCCGACCCGGTGAGCCCCCGCCTGGGCTCTGCCCCGTTGGCAGGGTCAGAGGGGAGGTGGGAGCCCATTCCTCCCAGCTGCCTGGGCGCACCTCCCCATCTACCCTCCCCATCTACCAGGCTGTGAGCGGTGCAGCCAGGTTCTGATGCCACGGGAGGGGGAGGGGGAGGCCCA